TCCATTGGTGGACATATTGAGCGTTTATTTAGCGTCCATGTAAAACATGTCCATCAAAAACAACCGAACATATCCTTTCCAAACTTGATAATGAAATTGAGGCATATTATTTGATTTAAACAAGAGTCAATTTTGCGTGACACACTCCTTACAATGGAAAAGGACGATTTTTGTGGTAAAAAAACGTTTGGTACTTACCTTTAAAGCAGTTTATTAAATCATCCAGGTTAACGATATAATCAAAAATGGCAAGCAAACAATCGTCGGGAATTTCATTGAACGACATATTAAATAAAATTGCAGTTTTACTTAAAACTACAGTTTTCCGTTGCATCTAATGATTGTTGATACAAAGGTATTTAATGGCCAATCACTAGATTTGATTGATTACCAGAATGTATCATTTGAAATTGTTTTCCTCCGTAGTCCACATAGATGTCAGCAGTTGATTGAATTGTTGCAACACAAAAAATAGAGATTCTAATTTTAAGGATCCAATTTTATCCAATTTATCTTTTACCTATAGTCATTATTTTTGCAACCTCGATGAAAGTTATCTACGGATCTAAAGTTGTAATCCTTTGACCACAAAGACATCTCTTTAGGTTAGCCAATAGATAATATGCACTAGAAAACAGATCGAGAAATAAAGTGAATGAACATTAGAGATTAAGTTGAAAATCTTCGAATGGGCTTTCGAGGTAAAATAACAAATATTTTAAATATATTAATAAATACTTTTCAATAATCAATTGGAACCAATAAACATGAAAGGTCCACATATATCCAGTCTTTGCGGAAGCAATGTTTCATGAAATCAAAGCCTCGACTAATTACTTCGTATTCATTGGATAACTGCGGCCAATCTGATTTGATTTCGTGTTCATTTCCATTGTAGTAAAATTTGATTGATCGTCCATATCTTTTACAATAATCTTGAACATAATCAGCAGCTCTTTGAGTGACTTCCTGACACTCAACAGCATCCAATAGCACTAAATTGGGTAAAATGTGAACCAACTGCTCGATATGTTCATCTGTTATAATACAATGGCCCCTCAACGCAAGATGTTTGAGATTCGGAAATTTCTTGAACAATCTTTTAAAATAATTCCAGGTATCATCTGCGTTATCAAGTCCATACTGTAAATATAAAAATCAATTAGTTTATACGGAAAATTTTGCAAAGATGCCACTTTCCATGTTGATTTTAATCTGAATGTATCTGAATAAATTTTATATTTCAAAGAATCAATTGCATTTCAAATCTGAAAAATACTTACAAATTGAAAGACTAAATCTTGTAAACATTTGTGTTTCAATGTTTCATCAAAAAACGAAGTATTAGCGCTCATCAAAATATGTGCGCTTTGTAAATTTGGACATGAATCCATGAACTGGAAACCATAAAAAATGTTATGACAGGGACGACGGAAGGCCATCTCAAGTATTTTGAGCTTTTCCAATACCGGACCATCGTAGGGATTATCTGGAACTAAACGATAGATTTTCATAAGCAAAAATTTCTGGGCAAAATATTTTCATAATTACCATCTATTTCAACCTTTAGTCTTTCAAGGTTTGGCATATAATGTGCATCTCTTTTCAAATCCTCTAGACTATAATTCCAAATGTCCAATTGCTTTATGCTGGAACCATTTCGTAAATTGTTTGGATTGAAATGATTGACAGAAAGCATTTCGAGTTGATCACAATATTTTTCTATTGGTTTGCGATATCTACTGATTAATCCTCTCAACGATTCTTGTTTGCTAACAAATTCAATTGCGTCTTCTACTTTGAGATGTAATCCAGGAGACAATTCGGCAATCTAAGTTAATAAGATAAATAAACAAATTAATATTCAGAGAAAAATGCAAAAAGAAATTTGATTAATAATATCAACCTACTTGTAAATTTGTAAATAATTTACTCAGGTAGGTTACATCACGCACACATGGTCTTTGAAAATAAACAGCATCAGATGAATAACCACGCTGACCTGAAATATAAATTTGTAAGATTAAGAAATGGATGACAATGAGCATGAAACATTAATAAAACTTGAATCTTACCGATCAAATATTTAACTTTTTTAGTCCGCTTAGCAATTAAATGTCTCCATTTAACGCACACTGGAATAAAATTTTACTTATTTCAAACACATCAGTTATATAAAGTTATAATACTTTCGAAACCCCCACAACATGACTCAACTAGTGTTGTATTGTTACTCAATCGTTAGTCAATTACTCTCAGAATCAACACAACATGACTTTATATACATAAAAACATTCAAATACTGCGCCTGCATAGTCAGCTGATTGAGTCATGTAATAATCAAAAGATAATAAAAGATGTTGCATTTAGATGAAACTTTTCACAATATTGAAACAAATTCTGCTGGTTTCATACACACCGGCTTCTATACAGTTAAATCTGCACCTGATAAACTCAAAATGGTTTTTTGATTCAGTCTGAACACAAAAACTAAGGTATCATAAGGAGTGAAAGAAATACAGCTTGCGTCCATGTAAATCAAGAACAACCGAACATATCCTTTTCAAACTTGATAATGTAATTGAGGCATATTTTTGATTTAAACAAGGGTCAATTTTGCCTGACACTTCTTACAATGGAAATAGACGATTTTTATGATACATAGAAACATGATTGGTACTTACCCTTATAGCAGTTTATTAAATCATCCAGGTCAATTATATAGTCAAAAATGGCGAGCAAACAATCATCGGGAATTTCATTGATCAACATTTTATCATGAAATGCTTAAAACCAAAGTTTTCCTTGAGTCTAGTGATTTAAGCTAAAATAATATTCAATGGTGAATCACTAGATTTGATCAGAATATAGACTTCCCTGTAGTTCCCATAGATGTCAGCAGTAGATTGAGATACTGTTATTATTTAACCCTGTTCAAAGAATAAAGAAGTTCTAATCCCTTGACCACAAAGACATTTCTTTAGGTTAGACAATAGATAATATTCACTAGAAAAATAGATCGCGAAATAAATTGGATGAATAATAGAGATTAAGTTGAAGCTCTTCGAATGGGCTTCAAGGTACAAAATAACAAATTTATTAATAAGTACTTTTCAATAATCAATCGGAATCAAAAAATTTGAAAGGAATACATGTGGTTTGAGGAAGCAATGTTTCATGAAATCAAAGTCTCGACTAAATAGTGTGTATTCACTGGATAAATGCGGCCAATCTGATTTGAATTCATCACGATTCCCTTTGAAGTAAAATTTGATTGATCGTCCATATCTTTTACAATAATCTTGAACATAATCAGCAGCTCTTTGAGTGACTTCCTGACACTCCCTAACATCCCATAGCACTAAATTGGGTAAAATGTGAACCAATTGCTCGATATGTTCATCTTTTATATCCCAAAAATTCCACAATGCAAGATGTTTGAGATTCGGATACTTCATAAGTAATCTTTTTAACCTATTCCAGGTATCATTATAGTATCCACACTGCAATTATAAAATCAAATAGTTTATAAGAAAAATTTTGAATAGATGACCCTTTTCATGTTGGCCTAACCTAACCTTGTTGATTTTAATCTGAAATGTATCTGAATAAATTTCTAAATTTCAAATGTGAACAATACTTACAAAATCTATAACTAAGGGCCGTATTCACCAACCGAGTTTAAGCTTGATTCGGAGATCAAACTGATTAATCTTAGCTTTTTTGTTTCACCAATTGAAATTAAAATTTGATCTCAGATCACACTTAAGCTAAGATCTCAGCTGATCAAACTAATCTTGAAATCATTTTTTTTTATTCACCAACCGAAAT